GAAAATGTTACAAAGCTTTAAATATTCTTCCTGCACTCCATTTGGTTTTAAATTTGAATGTTTCCCTTGGATTATTTTAAAATGTTTGATTTCAAACACTTAATATAAGCAAATTAAGTTTTTAAATACAATATCATTTTGAAGAGGAAATTTGGAATGAAAATATGAAAAACAAACTTTGGTTTTCTCTGGGATGTCACTTGTAGACCGGCTGCTTTTTCTATGGCTATTTTCAATGGCCTTTTGTTTAAAAGTCTCATAAAAATATAGAAGCGCGTGAATGGATATAAAAAAATAAGGACATTTTTATGATTTTTTATAAATAAACAGCACAGCAAGAATTAAATAGAACACAAAGACATTTATACAGGCATGAACTGTTACAGCTTGTTCTCCTCGAAGAGTATCTGTGCATAGACTGTCGTACTGGGAATGCCTTTGGCTTCCTGAATCGGCTTCATAAGTTCAAGTTCAGCATATGTTAAGTTCTCCTCTGTGATTTTTGGCTAGGAAATAGAACCAACAAATTACAGTTACAAAGTTTTTGTGGATGAACGTAAAAGACACCTTACATATTCTATAGATTTTTTTTAACCTTTTTTTTTTCTGTCATATTTAATAGTTCTACTCTAATATTAATTGGTTCACTCTGTATTAAATTTGGTTCATAAAAGATGAAATAAAGGAAAACAATAAAGGGGTTTTAATATAACTTCTATTTTTTCTGTTTTTCAAAATTATGCATTGAAAGTTTTAATTTGCCAATTAACATATTACAATTTTGAAAGAAGCACATTAGCAAAATGTTCAGTTCCTCTAATTTAATCCCAAATTTCCCAATATAATTTTAGTTATTGCAGATCTCACAGTTTAAAACATCTATGCCAGATTTGCTTCTCGAGTGTAAACCTTGGAATAGTCACATCCTAATCACACACACTCACAATATTGCACTTTATGTTTCTTAGCAGCACCAGGAAGTGTGTTAGGGATGTGCAGAGCAGGGCAGAAATGGGAGCAGTTGAGTTACTTTTACTGAACAAATTTCGTGTGGGTCAAGGAAGAGTTGCCAAGTGTCCCAAGCTCCTGCTGTCTGGGCCTCATCCAGACTTGGGCTGTAGCTTAGAGGAGGAAGGTCCTGCCTTATGTTCCTCTGCGTGTGCAACTGGAATCAGTCGTTAGTATCAAACCCACCTCAACATCCAGCAGCAGAGCTTCTTTGGGATTGTGTGTGGAGCCCTAGGATTTGAAATCTATTTCACTTTACCTGAAGTTTAAACTCTGTGCTCCCTGCAGAAGGGTGAAATACTAAGACTCTATGCAGCTGCAGAACTGGGAAACTTGTTCTCTTATCTACTTGGGTGCCCTGTTCTATCTGAACATCACTTGTTTCCTCACATTTAAGCCTAAAAAGGACCCACTTAAAACTTTTCATCCGTAGAATTTGTTGCAGTCATAGGACGGCACCTTACTGAAAAGGATATGTCTCTGAGACCAGTCTCTTAATGCTCAAGAAAGACTTTTTCTAGTCATGAATTTAAAACTTAAAGTTTATAAACTAAAAAAAGATTTTTGTAAAGTAGTTAAGTTTTATCATGAAGAAAATGACAATATTTTCCAACACCAAGTCTTCCTTATGTAATTTTGTTCCATTTACTGCTATTTATGCCTTTCTAATTTAACATAAATGATTCTTGTTTGAATAATTATTATGTTGTTTTCTGGCTAAAAAGATAAGCACCTAATATCCTCTGAAATTTGTCCCTGGGCTCTACTGCTTCCCATATTTTGCACTGTTCTGGAATCTTTTCATTTTGCCATAACAGTTGCTCACAATCTGCATTTCAGATTGTTTCCCTCTGGGTGGATCAGTTTACACTTTTCAAGCATGAATTTAATCATATTTCTCCTCTGTAGATCTGATCCTGAAGGACTTTCTGCAGCTGCTGATGCAGGTGCTACTGCTGAAGTCGCTTGATCTGTACGTGCGAGTAAAGGCTATCGTCAGGGCTAGGTGCCTGCAAGGTTGTAATCCTTGGTTTTGATCTTTCACCTGCTCTTCCCCCTTTGCATGGGTAATCCCATTTGATTTCAGCGTCTGATCCTCATTCTCCACCAAATTCTCCAATGCTGACTAAAAAAAAATCATCTTTTCTAGAAATTCTCTAGCCTTAGGATGTAAAAAGACTTTCTATGGATCACACAACCTGACCTTATCTATAACACAGAAAGAAAATCACACGTATTCTTTTTTTTTTTTTTAATATGTTCAGGCTGAGCTAAAATACAATGTTTAGAAAAGTATCTGGCCCATTTCAGCTTTGGATTAAGGAGTTAGAAAACACCTCTTCCTTAACTGCTTAATTAAGCTTTCCTGTCTTCTTTCTAGCCTAATCTTATCTACCTTCAGTTTCTAGGCATTTAACTTTTTTGCGTTTTTAGATTTGTTAAGGACTCATTTTGAGATTTCACAATTATATGCACTCATCTATCTAATAGATAGTATAAAGCTAAACTGAGGCTGCATAAAACAATACCGGAAAATATTCAGGATTTTATGCACAATGTATAATAGCAAGTGTATTCTCTGTATGGAGCTAGTGGGAGTTTTGCTGGAGTCGACTCAGTAGGAGTCAATTCAGATGCTAAAACCAGAATGATATGCTAGAGGTGAAAAGAACAAATCTCACAAAACTTTACAAACAAGCTGTTGGTTGCGACCAGAGTAAAAGTCTACATTTACTAAAACCAGCCCAGTACCTGTTTTGAAGTAGAAATATTTTCATTGTATTGCAGAAATCTGTTGCTCAGGGCAAACTAAATCTGCGTATGCTTTCCCCTTTGCTGTTTAATTGCATTTTGTGTTATGTTTCCATTTAGAAAATACTGCATGCCCTAAAATAGTCGCCCTAACGCCCAGCTCATGTAAATTTTAGAACTAAGATTTATGAAATCATATTGTCCAGGTGTTTTATTATATTATCTCAAAATTGCATTGTTTTTCAGTGTAGATTATCTCTTTATTCTTACTTTATTCTATTATGTTTGGATATGAAAAATAACACTAGATTCCCCAAAACAGGTCATTGGGCAGTAGTGGCTGATGTGTTGCTTTCATACATTTTTATGATGTTCCTATAGTAAACATAATTTAATAAAGGCGAAACACACTAAATAAATAATTGCATCTAGAAAAGCAATAAAACCAAATAAAATTAGTACTTTCATAAGTGGAAAAGGTACTTCAATTACTGCTACAAGCAACAGCACACCATAAAATGTGTAGAATAATTTCCCTTATGCATATTTCTAGTATGTAATAATTTGATTGAAAATATGAGGAAACACACAGGAGGTTCAAAATTGTGAAGGGTATACAGTTTTCAGCAAAGGATGTGTAATAACAGTGCATGAAAGCCAACACAACTTTAAAGTACCTATGGTAGCCAGTTTTTTTTTCCAGCTGCTCTTCTGTACTTCATTTGTGAGCCATATGTTTAATTTAATTCCGATTGTTTGTTTGTCCAAAACCAGCTA